CATGCACCTTATCAACCCCACACGGCGCATCACCTCTAACATGCTAACTCGTGACACTACGAAAATTCCATAATCAACTCTGAACCATGAGCAAATTGAACATCTCATCAACCGCGAACCTTTCATTTAACTCAATCCAAGAGAACATCACCTCACATAATATAACTTCTATACCTGTAGCAAACACCAAATCCGGCCGTGGTCATAACCATGATGAATCCTTCGGAACTCATTAACACATAATCGAGTCATCAGAATCGATCGCCTCATCAGCATATCCGAAACCACAAAGTTTTTCAATAACCTGATTATAAGCAGTCTTACATCCCTGCCTTGAAAGCATCTTCTCCAGTAATTTCACCAAATCATCCACCCTTCGTTGCTGACAAAATTGGTGGATGATCGTACAATACGTCACAGCAGTAGGAATCACGCCCCTATGAAGAATTTTGTTGGCTAGATCAAGAGCCTCTTCCATTCTTCCTTGCTTTGCCAATCCGTTTATTAGCGTTGTATATGTGACAACATCAGGATGTTTGTTAATCAAGTACATGTCATCAAGAACCGAAAGAGCAGCATCCAACTCATTCTTTTGACAGAAACCATGAATTAAAGTGGTGAAATTCACCGCATTAACAACATATCCTTCCTTCAAACATTCTTCCATAAAGTTCTTTGCTTCATCTGCTCTGGCTTCTTGACAAAGGGATCGAATTAGCATGTTAATTTCTATGGGGGTAGGGAAATACCTCTTTGCAATCATTTCCCTACCCACATCACAGGCTTCCGACAGTTTCCCTTCCCAACGATAGCCATGCATTAACACGCTAAACGTAATAGCATTTGGTCTCCACCACGACTCCTCAAACATGCTCATCATCTCTTTTGCCTCCGCAGACCTTCCACTCCGGCAAAGCCCATTTAATAAGGCAGTATATGATACGGTGTTTGGCTTGCAACCGTGCTTGTACATATGTTGAAGTCACTTTTTAGCTTGATCAATTTTCCCTACAAGACAAAACATTCAGAACTGCAGTGTAAGTAACCACATCAGGATTACATCCTTTAGCAATCATTTCATTGACCAGTTCCTTTGCCTTATTTATTCTTCCGTCTTTACAGAAGGAGTTTACCACAGCACTGTAACCCACTTTATCCACTTGGAATCCTGTTTCCTCAGCTTCCCTTAAGAATCCCACCGCTTCATCAGCATGACCGTGCTTCGAAAGCATATGTATAATTGTATTATAAGTAACCTGGTCAGGCAATAAGTTACTATCTTTAGCCATTTTCTCCACCAACTCTTTGACTTTATCGGTTTGTTTCTGCGTGCAAAAGAATGAAATCAGCGTATAATAACTAACTTTATCTGGGTAACTGCCCCTATATGTCATCTCAGCGATCAGTTCGAATGCATCTTCAACTCGATGCACATCACAGTAACCTTTGATTAAACAATTATATGTAAAAACATTTGGTGTTATCCCAACTATTTGCATCCGCTCAAGAAACCTCAATGCTTTCTCAATTCTATTCACCTTCACCAAAACATAAATTGCAGAGTTGCATATAGACAAATCCGGCTCAATTCCTGTTCTTTGCATTACATTCAGGATCTGCATTTCTTTCCTTAAATGTCCAGCTCGACTAAAAGAAACCATCACACAATCAAAATCATCAGGTCTAAGCGGAATTCTTCTACGCGCCATCAGCTTAAGAATGCGCTTAGCTCCCTGACGCAACTTTGTCCTACTTAGAAGTTGAAGCATCATACAATAAACAATAGTGTGATGTCGATACCGCCATTGCTGGTCCGCCCAATAAAAGAATTTCAAAGCGACCCTTTCATCGGATTGAGACCTTAACATACCACAAACTTGAAGAGGCTTCATACTTTTTAGCAAACGCCTCAATTCAATCTCAAGCTTCGGAGTCTAACACGACTGACGTGCAATTAACCTACATGTTTCCTTCACCAAAGGGTGTCTCATTTCACCCTTCAATCCTTTCATAACTACAACATTCTCCGCCCGATTCACTTGCCTTTGATTTTTACCAAATGAATCCAAAACCTTAAAATCATCATCAATACAGTCTAAACTACCTCCTCCATCTTCATTTTCTGACTCTTCAAACTCATCCACAACTACTAGAAGTTTCTTTAAAGCTGCAATCTTTTCCATTTTCATCACAAAAAGTATCAGAAAAGCTCAAGTCTTTACATTCTTTAGAACCAAATTATTCTTTTACAAAATTCTCATCTCCAGTATCATCATAATGATCTTTTTTCAAGTAGAAATTATTGAGTCTAGAGCTATCACTTCTAGATGAACAAGAAGAAAAAAATGCAATAACTCCACTATAAGCAAATGGGTCTCCACCAAAATGGATTCTTGATTCAAAAGTTGCAATTTTTCCAGAAAATTCAACATAAACACGATGATTACTTGAACCAAACCAAAGAATCTTGAAATTCTTTTTATGCCTAGGCAAGGTTCCTCCAGTTCTTGTGCATATATTTAACTTCAGCAACATTTTTATGAATTCGCTGAGATTCTAAATCATATCTTTTAGGCAATAAGAAGTTTGAATAGAGCTTCAATTGCTTACTTCTGAGTTCTATTGCTATGGACTGGGACCAATTCTGCGAAAAGTTTGAAGCTTGACAGAAGCCTATGTCAAGCTTGATTGAGCGGGCCGGGGCATCCTAGTACATATTGGCCGGCCCTTTGTGTGCTTGGGCGGATCTATCAGCAAATGTTTAGAAATATTGGCTGGGGTAGCCATTTTTTTGACCGGTTGTTAGAGTTTATTTAGTATGTGAGATATAATTAAAAAAATACTATTTTTATGGGAAAATAAAATCTAAACAAAATTATCCCTACTTAAAACACAAAAAAATAGGACTATTGGAGTTTAAACATTTATTCAACCCATGATTTGTTCCTGGAGTTTTAAAATTCTCTACAAATAAAATCATAAAATTCTCCACATGCAAAATCCTAGATTTCGAAGCTTTTAAGGGGAAAACTCCAGCACACTAAACTCAGTGACTATTTCTAATATCATCAAAATGTTAATGCACTGTCTAGCTGTAAAATAATACAATTGAATTTATAGCGTGATTTATTAAAAAAATTGATTTGATCCAAAAGTGATAAATAAAAAGGAACAGAAATAAGATTAATGACTGAAATTAAAAGAGATAACAAGCATGACTAAGGACATTTTCCTTTCGCGGTGGAAATAATAAATATAATGTTCAAGTGCTAAAACTAAGTATATGGTGATAGAGTATAGCCTTTTTTGTACAAGAAATTTCTTGTCCCTCATTGGATGTTAATCTTCCTATTTATAGCCTTACATAGGGAGACAAATCCTAAAATCAAGCTCATCTTGAATAAGAATAAAAACATCATTGATGGGTGTATAACAGCTGGCTTTGAATGCAGATATTTTCTGTAACAACTGCTCATTAAATGCTATTCGATGTCAAACCTTTGAATATTTATTATCGGCAGTGCTTCCTTCGGGACCCATCATGCACCGACCACACACCCGCACCCAGTGATAGCTATGTGTTGGTTCATTTTTCACCTACCTTCGGTTCCACGTGTCACCTCACCATTCGACCAACTGTCATTAACTAATTTTACCCCATACAGATAGTCCCCCTACTTTCCGGTGACGCAACTCAGTGTTACCGGAAAGTAGATGAGCATCCTTTTCTTGGCGGGAAAGTTCCTGAACGGTATCTGACACTTGAAGGGACGCACGTCTCCTCGCATTTAATATCCCGAACACGTGTTGCTTCGTGATTCAGCAAGTATTTTCGCCGGTTTTCGAGGTAATCATGATCACAATTTTTGTCGTCTATAACTTCTCCGCTACTCAACACTTTTACTTCCTTGCTTTCATTAATTTCACAACTCCTTCTTCTTCGAAACTCCTTAGAGCTTTTCTGCAAGGCTCAACCCTTTTAGTAAAAAACTTCTTCACAGATTTCTTATCAATATGTCTTCTCGAACCGCCGTCTTCGGGAATTCTGGTTTTGTCTTTGGTGGAGGTCCAAAGAAAAACAAGAACAAAGAGGTTGATGTCGAACAGGCTTCGCAAAAGCGATCATTTCTTCACAAATGCGATCCCTTCCCCTAGCAGCCCAGGTTCGCAAATGCGAGGACTACCTCGCAAATGCGGTAGTCACATTTGCAACAAAAACATCGCAAATGCGATGGAACTAGTACCAGCACTCAACAATTTAACAAAAACAATCCGAAACACACGAGCCCCGCGGCTCCAAACCAAACACCTACACCAGTCCAAAAATATAGCACAAACTCGCTCGCGCGATCGAATTACCAAAATAACCTCTAGAAGCACAAATCGGACGCCAAAATGCATGAGAATCACAATGAACTTCAAAATTTCTAGAATCGCAACCAAGCGTCTGAACCATATCAAATCAGCTTCAAATGACAACGAATTTTGCAGGCAAGTTCCATATGACGAAACGGACCTATTCCAACTCCTGAAACAAAAATCCGAACTCGATAGCCTTAAAGTCAAACTATGGTCAAACTTTGGAAAATTCTAAACCTTTAAATTGCTAACTTTCGCCAAATGATGCCGAAACCCTCTAAAAACATCCAAATGCAAATCTGGACATACACCTAAGTCCAAAATCACCATCCGCACCTACCGGAACCATCAAATCTCCGATCCGAGGTCAAATACCCATAAAGTCAAACTTGGTCAATTCCTTCAACTTCGAGTTTCTCAAATGAGAGTCACCATTTAAAATCATTTCCGAACCACTCAAAAAACCGAGCCAATGATGCACGCAAGTCATAATACACTAGGAGAAACTACTCAAGACCTTAAACGGCCGAATTGGACGCAATTGTGCAAAACGACCATCCGGGTCGTTACAATAATTGAATAGACTAGAAACGAATGCCCGTGCATAGCACGGGCGACGATATAGTATAGGTATTACCTTATACACTTGCTAAAATTGTACAATAAATTACTATTTGTACACGACTCAGATTTCACCAGTTAGGATGAACACCATAACTTATAAGATTCTTAAGAACCTAATGAGCAACAATACTGTAGTATAGAACAAAGAACAAAGAGTCTGGCATTTCCAAGACCGCCCACAACTCATGCTGATGCAAGGATATTTCCAGGACTTGACATCATCAAAAAGGCCTTGCAATCGCATTCGCATCAATACTTAAGAATCATTTGATGCACTAATTAGTTATTTAGTTATTTTTTCACCAGATGCAATTGTGTATTGCTCCTTGGACTTTGTAAGTACTCACTTACGGTTCTGCTGCATGTCTGCATCTTCAAGTGATAATGGCGAAACTGAATGTCTGACTTCTTTGTTGGTCGCACTGACATTAAAAGAATATATTCTATCCTGATATGTAAGTAAATTGACAATTCATCACAAAATGTTACATAAGCAGATGATGGTATGTGATGAAACACACATACATTAAGGATTTAGATATCAGTAAATACTAAACGGTATACTTCTTTTGTGTGAAGTAAATTTCTCTCCCATCATTAAATAGAAGGACATGTCACTATATAAGTCATGAACACCTAAAATCATAGTGAATGCACAAGACTCATATGGTGAAAACTTAAAGTCCTCTTCTATCTTTTTTTTTTCCAGTAGCATTAGACCTTGCGTTTCAAGTAGAGCACTGTAAGTATCCTTTATTTCGAGTAATCAAGTTCACCAGTGCCTTATCCAAAAATAAAATCAAGTTCAACCACCATTTTAAATTTTTTAACTAAACCTTTGAGTTCTGCACATATTTAGTCTTTAACTTCCCCAACAAAATTTTTAAGTAGCGGGGGTAAAGTAATAATCTTAGCAAACTTGCTTCAACTACATTTTGTCAGGTTCTATTTGGCTTCACTTCCCTAGAAATAAGGGGGTTATTCATCTTGTTATTGAAACACGTGACAACATCAAGGTTCTTTAATATAGAGTCATCACTTTAGATTCAGTAACATAGTTGAATTAACTTGATTGAATGTTCAAGTTGAGTCGGGAGGAGTTGTACTCCTCTGATTCCTATCGAGCTGCCCAAACTGCTTGATGTAAGTTTCATGTTTGCTATGCACAAGTCCTCCTCTTGCATTCAGTTTGGCATATGTAACAGCTCAGGCACGATTTTAAACCGCTATATCACATTCATAGTGGAAAAATTATAGAAAAATAAAAAATCAAAGAAAAATGAAATAGATTCAATAGATATACATGTGAAACCCCAACTTCCCTAACTCGTCATGGAAACATACCTTCAAAAATGGAACTAATGTCTGAGCAACCTGCTTCAAGCATTAACATAACTTGTTCAACTCAACATCAAGGATAAAGATAAAATTAATAGCATATATGAAATATGAAAAAAATTAAAACACCAACCTGGTTGATTCATGGTATAAGCCTTATTCAAGTCATCAGCTTTGCAGCAATGCGAAGCATATTAAAAATTGTCTCGTCTCATCCTCCTGAAGGACACTTGTTTCATTCCTAATCCTTTTATCCCCTAGAGTTATGGTCTTCAGGCTGCAAGAAATTAAAACAAAGATAAATCCTTTAAAACCTTCAATTTTCTAAAGCACTATATGACTTCTATATGTAAAATCAGAAGAACTAAATTAAATCAGGTCATAAACATTCCTCAAGGTCATTTCATACCAAAGCTAATGAATGATGTAAGAGAAGGTTATAATTTTAGAAAATATAAATTCTACATGCAAAAGTAGCTAGGTCCTCAAGGCTATTTAATATGAAAACTAAAACATATAAGAAGAAATTTTAATTAAATGTAATAAAGAAGTCAACACCTCAGATACCACAATTTAGTTTCACAATGAACTTATGTTTATTAATTTTCCACAAAATAATGCAAACAACTTTCACAAGAACTATACGAAATATGAAAATGTGCATACACCATATTTAGCAACATGGAAAAGTAATAAACAATTTCCACAAGAAAGCAGTAAGGCCAATCACTTCTTCATCTGCACCAACTCTTTTCTACTGGCATATTTTAACTACGAAGCAAAATTCTGTTCTGTAATTAACTCCTCCTTCAGTAGAATAATACTCTAGTCGCATTAAAATCTGCATTTGCACAAGCATTCAATTACTTTAAGAAATTATGCAGGATACCTCATTCTACACTATAACGTCTCATTTTTACCTTCATTTATCTTCTCATTAATCTTTAGTCTTATTTTTAACACTTCATATTACTAATAAAAACAAAGAACAGATTGCTTTTTAACCTATTAATAAGTGAAGGTTTTTGGACAACCAAGGGTAAATACGTAATTACAATTATATATAAATGAGAAGGAGGAGTACGACACAGCTACAAAAGTTGTACTATCTGCTGTATTGCAAGTATTTCTAGGGATAAATTGGTAATTTTGCTCCTTTCATTATCATAAAGACATTTGTACTATGTATAACACGTGTCTTGCCTTTTATGACTCCTACTTATTTTTACACCACCGATCCATCTTTCTCTTTGGAGTTTGGATTGTTAAACACATGTGGCTCATACTGATAACTTTCGGCTTTCAAAAATTTAATCATCTGTTGACTTTTCTCATAAATAAGAATTAGACTGACTCTTTGCAGTTTTACCTGCACCATATTCTAAGAAGAGCTTTTGAGCAATCACCTAGTTTCCCTTTCAACCAAAAATTTCTATTAAGATTCAATCACTCTATGATGATTAGAACGAGATAAATATTGCTTTTTGTGTTCATCTCTAGAGCCATGTCTCATGTTTAAAGTTATAATAATACTTTACTGCATCTAGGTAACCATCAGATTGTAAATTCTACTTCCTATAGTTAACAAATGTAAGAAAATCACTTATATATGCGACTTTGCTAATATTGCAGTTATAGAGACACAAAAGTTTTCACCCTACTAATAAATCAACACTGAGTTTCATATGTGATAACAAAGAGGAGAAGAAATCACATAACCAAAAGTTGAAGAAAATGATGCATTCCTTTCTAGCCATTACCAAACCAATAATTTTAGGCAAACAAATATATAAAAAAAAGACATCAAAAATTCCTGCTTAGTAAACACAAGAATGCAACCATATTCTCAATCATACCAAGGCTACAGGGAGATCAGTGAAATACTAATATTTCATATGCAGAAGAAAAGTTCTCATATACCAAACAAAGATGAAATTCGAAGCCAAAAAGATGTAAATATCTACCAAAGATGATCAACTGATTCTATAAGGCAAAACTTGTTTGAATAACTTAAAAGAAAGTGACAATTATTTTACCTGTAAATCTAAAACATTAAGGCAATAAAAAACTGTCATAACCAGTATAATCATCCTTCCTACTTTTTAATGATTGATCACCACCACTATAAAATGCTTTAGTATCCTGCATCAAATCATTCTTATGAATAAGCATACAACAACTTGGTAAATTATTGTCCCGAATAATAAAACTTTCAGGACAAAATGGATAGCACCATAATTAGAACCAAGATGAGTCGGGCAAACCATCAAATACCATAGGTGCATAGCCGACTTCCAAAATCTTTGTTTTTCTTGTCAGAATATAGGTAAGATTGAAATTTTTGTGTAGTCAACTTCTGCCAAATTGTCTTCTTTTTGTCTGTCTTTACTGCCATTTCTTACTTTTTTCCTTTGTTATAAAAATAATTAAAGAATATTGATGCGTCTATTCGGTGAATTTCTGCCATGGAGACTCTATTGTTCAAGTTTGTTTTGAATTTTCAAGGTACTATTTTCCACGTCGAAAAAGATTCAATTTTTGTTGTTCGGTAAAATTAGTAAGAATATGTGCAGGGAAAAGACAAATTTCACCAGAAAGACATAATGCATGTGCAAATAGCATACTATTACTGACATACATGTAAAATTCTAGAAGAAAATTATTCAAAAGAGAGGAAAGTAATGGAATCTACTATTACTTCATCAAAAGAAGAGGAAAGTACCAAATATTCACCAAATTGTAATCACAATTACCTGAGCATTCACCCAAAAGAAAAACCCATGCACACCCATTTACCAACACTCAGCAGCAACTATTAGCGTAAAAGATCCATTTACCAAATTAGACCAAAAATTTAAGTTTTATCCCAAAAAAGAAGAAGAAGAAGAAGTACCTTAAAAAGTAGGGAACTACGTAAACCCAAAGAAAATGTCCTCTTTAAAACAGAAAAATATTGAATAAGAAAGGAAGATAGCAGAAGAAGAAAGTAAAAATAACTGAGAAACCAAGAAGCACCTCAAATGAAGAAGTATAAACCTAGAAAAATTCTTTGTAAGAGAGATAGAGCATCACCTTTTGAAAAAGCAGAGAAATTGAGCGCTTCTGAAACGATGGAGATCCAAACTCCAAAGAGAAAGATGGATCAGTGGTGTAAAAATAAGCAAGACACGTGTTATACATAGTACAAATGTCTTTATGACAACGAAAGGAGCAAAATTACCAATTTGTCCCTAGAAATACTTGCAATCAGCAGATAGTACAACTTTTGTAGCTGTGTCATACTCCTCCTTCTCATTTATATATAACTGTAATCACGTATTTACCCTTGGTTGTCCAAAAACCTTCACTTATTAATAGGTTAAAAAAGAACAATATTGATATTGTCTTTATCGGAATGATGAACACAAATTACAAGTCCTTGATTAGAAGCTTCTTCTGTCCTGGTTTTATGTGACTATTCTAGATGAAATTTGATTTTTCAAAGATTACTTCATTTGTTAAGGTCGCGTAATATACGGGTCCGATCTTTCTCCGAATTCCTTGCATAACGGGAGTTCAGTGCACCGAATTACCCTTTACTTCATTTGGCATGACAAAATGTAATGTAGAAAAATCATTTCTTGAGTTTAATGATCTAAATGAGTACCGATGTCGTCTGAGGATGAAAACTAAATTTCTCTACTCCTACATCATTCAACTTCCTACCTCCAACTATTTAGTTTTCTATATCAGTTTTTGCCACTCACAAGTCACAACGATTATCAGTGTTACCTGCACTTTCACAACTTTCACAGTTTCTAGCTTTTATCTCGAAATTTATTGACGAGATAGTTTTCAGAATGTTCCATATTATACCAAGTGATAATCTCAATCAGATGATTCTGATCTTTATGGACAAAAGAGAATGCCCAAAGACTAAGAAAGGCTTTGATAGCATCCTTTTGATCTGTTATTGCAGGTAGACTATAATCATTGCCCATTGGAATTACTGATGATCACACATTCACACCTGTGATTCTGACCTGTAACTACAAGGGGAGGATAGTTGTATCAGTTATCAGTGAGAAAAAGACGTTTAGAAAAATATACACAACTTAAATTACTAAATGTCATGTTGGAACAAAAAGAATATCCTGAATAAGTTACAAATTTAGAACATTGCAATATGTTCCTATTAAGTTCAACGGCACCATTGATTTACCTGATTAATCTTGTACAGAAGTACCGAATTACTTGCTATTATCTCGAAAATTCAACATATAAAACTGTAAATTTATGATTTTCTTGAACTAGGTGATTATCCCCGTTCCGTCTGCCTAAAAGAAAAGACTTTGTTTTCATTATTTTCTTTGAGACGTGGGGTTGAGGTACTATAAATCGTTGACCACTAAAGAAAGTTCCTTTTTGTGGTCAGAAAGATAATTGCCACATTAGCAATGTAAAACTTCATCACGGCTCTTCATGGACTTATAAATAAATTGAATCGACTCGACAAAACCTCACACACAGTGGCGGATTTTGTTCTGTTAGTTGTTGGAACAACTAATGTAATTATATAATGATTGTATTGCACTGAATTATATATATTAATAATTTGAATATATATAATTATCTCAATTTGAATCATTGATTTTAGATTTTTGATTCATCTATATTCATGAGTAAAAAATATTTAAAAAGGCAGTCCGAGCAATACAAGAATTTCCCGCTATTCTTTCCTCAATCAATTACTAATATGCGCTCCTTATCTACATGTAATGACAAACAAGTGTATTCTTCCCTTATTAATTTGGCATATAACAGTTTGTCCACCGATAATAATGTAAGAGTTCTCTTAAGCGGCGGCTTGTATTTAATTGTTTATTTGCTTGAGTTCCTCGATTACAAAATCTTAGTGGTGAAATGTATTGAAATGCTTATTTTCTTGAGTTCCTCGATTGATAAAGTTTTAGTGGTGAATTGCATTAATATTTTTTTTATTATTTTATAAATGCTTACTTCTTTATGTTGCATCCATTGTCTCATAAGTTATTGCGTATTATTCGCTTTGGAGTCTACATTAATTCGGATTACCTACTAAGATCTTTTTTATTTTTAAAATTCTAATCCGATATTATAGGTTAAGAGCGGAGATATTCTACTCATATATTCCACCATAATATTTAGTGGTAAAAAACTATAATTATTGTCTTGTCATGAGAACCATTATAACAATATTTGGAATTGAAAATCATATGATAATTGTGACGTTATTTTGGTGTTACCTTTTTTTTTTCTTAATTTTAGCTAAGCAGGGACTTTCTAAATATGCTATGTCAAAATTTCAAACTTCAAACCCTATGTCACGACCCAATTTAACCCTCCGAAAGGTGTCGTGATGGCACCTAGTCTTTACGACTAAGTAAGCCTATTATTGCGAAAAAATTGAAAGAAACACAACGATAAAAGATAAACAGTATAATTTAAATAACGAGGATAGTGCCACTCGGCATATACAGTAATAATCTCCCAAAATCCGAAATATCGCTAATCACAAGCTTCTATAAGTCTATATAGCTATATACAAAGGACTTAATGAAACAAAAGAAAATCTCTATGCGGGGGAAGAGAAGGGGACTCCGAGGATCTGCGGACGCGAGCAGAAGTACCTTAAAGTCTCCTGAATCAGCAAACGCGCACTAAATCCGAGGTTGATAGCTCGTACCTGGATCTGGACACGAAAAACATGTGCAGTAAAGGGCATGAGTACATCATAATGGTACCCAGTAAGTGTCAAGTTTAACCTCGGTCGAGTAGTGACGAGGTCGGGTTAGGGCCCTACCGGAGTAAATATAATGAATTAAGCAGTAAAAGATATAAATAAATTTTACGGTAAAATAGTTAAAGAAATTCACAAATATTTAACAGTCAAGGGAGCCCTCGGCTCAGAACAAGGAAACACAACAAGGAATCTCCCTGGATACCATCCTGTAGTTCCGAAATGATTATGCAGTACAAGGGGATCTCCCGGAATACGTCCATAGTCCCAAAATAAATATGTAGTGCTGGGGGATCTCCCGAAATACGTCCGTAGTCCCAAAGTAAATATGCAAGACAGGGGGATCTTCCGAAATATGTCCGTAGTCCCAAAGTAAATATGCAAGACATGGGGATCTCCCGAAATATGTCTGTAGTCCCAAAGTAAATATGCAAGACAGGGGGATCTCCCGAAATACGTCCGTAGTTTCAAAGTAAATATGCAGCTCAAGATGACATGACAGTTACAACATCGAATTATACAGTTTAGACTAAACACAATCAAGGAAAATAGGAATCTACCTAAGCATGCTGCACAGAAATTCAAATAGACAGTCAAAACACGTAGGCATGCTTTCCTAATCTAAACCAAGTAATTAAACATAGTAGTGCAGTTCAAACAAAGGAAAACAATTTATGATTTAGAAGAAAATCTGGGATTTTTACAACAATAGCCCGTGTATGTACTCGTCACCTCACGTACACGACGCTCATACATCAAACAGTACCAAACATCCTAAGGGGAAGTTCCCCCACACAAGGTTAGACAAGCCACCTACTTCGAACCGCTCAAATCAATCTGAAACTGCTCTCTTTCCACGAGTATCCAACTCTGAATGGCCCAAATCTAATCAAATTAATTGCATAATGTAAATATAACTACAAGTAATAATTTACGCTAAAGAATTCAAAGCTAAGGCAATGAGTTAGGAAAAACACCCAAAAGGTCTCTCCGGACCCACGACTCGGAATCGGGTAAAAGTTACTAATTTAGAACGCCCATTCACTCACGAGATCACTCGTACGAAAGTTATCTAATTCCGACGCCTAAAACCCGATCGAAACTCAGAAACTCGATTGGGGAACTTGTGACACCCCATGTTTTCGTACATGAAAGTATGCCATAAGTTAATCGACGCAAGCTCGGGAATGAGATTATTTTGAGATTACAAGTATTATGCTATTTCAAACAAGGGATAAGTAAATTCATGAAGGTGAGAGGGTAAGCAAATCGAAGAAAATGAGTTTCGTCGAAGCTTGGCAATTTGGGATAAAATACGGTACGAGCTATAATACCCGATATTTATGGACTAGTGCCATACAAAATACTACATGACCATGATAGTAAGGTATACAAGGTATGTTAAAAGTGAGTAGTATTTTAAGTAATTTGATATAATTCTTAATTATGTGGGTGATTGGTTAATTATTGGATAATGAAATATTACCCAATAAATTAAGGAATTATATTGGATAAAGATTAAGGGC